AGCATAAGGACATCAATATGTATCACAAAATGTAATAAAAATTGGGGGTCATTTTTTAGCCATTTTTTGGAAAAAAGCATGGGCTATAGCCTTGGGTATTTTTCAGATTTTGGCAAATTTCTTAAAATGGCCGTAACTTGAAAAATTTAAGTCGGAATGAGCTCAAACTTGCTACACAGCATAAGGACATCAATATGTATCAGATAATGTAATAAAAATTGGGGGTCATTTTTTAGCCATTTTTTGGAAAAAAGCATGGGCTATAATAGCCTTGGGTATTTTTCAGATTTTTAGCAAATTTTTAAATGCTCATAAGTTTAATTTTTTGGTGTATTATTTATTTATTTTTCCAAAGGCAATATCAGTTAAGCAAGGTTACAGACACCACTAAGGACTCCATCGAGCAAACTATAAAACTAGGTGAGGTCAAACGGCCGCTGGACGCAATGGAAAAACTACTGATCCAGCTGGAAGGAGTCATTCAAGAACCAATGTCATCCGGCACTGAAATCCTCTCTCTCTCCTCTGAGCTGATCCAGAGATTAGGTGGTGTCTCGCTATGCGTCTGTGATTCCGGTATATACCGATCCCAAGCCGTCACCACCTTACAGGAGGTCTCTTTACTCTCTCGTTGCTACGGGCTGCAATTTCGGTCGTTCCGATTAGCTTTAAATGTACTTCGTCTATCAGGAGCGTTGCCCATTTTGGTGAAGAAGAATTCATTAAAGTATACAGCTTTTCCACCTACTGCACCTGGGTAAGTGTTCTATTTATAGCCGACTGTTCTATTAATAGTATGACATCATTGTTTCTATTTTTAGGTTGTATCAACTTCCCCCACTGTAGTTATTAGAACATTCACTGGTAAATTGTGTTATTTTTTTCGTTGACAAATTTTGTGTGTTGCTTTGTTTGCAAGTGGAATGTGTTGATAGATTTTTATAATTATTTTAAATTATTATTTATTTGTTTTTTTTAGTTTAATTTTAACTTTTTCGTTGTTATTTTTGTGACTTGAAAAAAGTAAATAATTGAATAATAATAATAATAATAATAATAATATTAAATATTAACAAGAGAGGGCTATATATAATAATAATAATAATAATCATAGGCCTAGCTGAGGGAAAAAAGAATTAAAGATGTTTGTAAATGTTACTCTCTTTTAGCAGCTGCTCCATCATCTTGATTTGGATCGTTGTGAATAGTTTCATCGCCACCATTGACGCCATCTCCTGCTGTTGAGTCAGTCGGCGTCTTCTTTGAAGGATAGTCTTCATAACTAGAAAAGAGAAGGAGAGAGAGCGAGAGTAGAAAGTAGGAAAAATAAATTATAAA